GAAGAGAGAAGTTGCTATATCCTGCTCAGCACAAGTCCTTGTCAGGATAAGAAATGTTTGCTTTGTGTTTATGTAAAAAGTCTTGTCTTGTATGATATTGGCTGGGCAGCAGATCTGAAAACCTATCAGGATTTTTAGGCACATGGTTGGAGAGGAACTTGTGCAATTTCCTGCTGTTTCTGACCTTTTGGTAAACAAAAGCCCTTTTGATACTCAAGTAAATTAAAACACCTTTTTTACAAATTAAAAAAACAATTAAAATAGTGATAATTTTTATGTTTTTATCACAGTCTAGGGTTTTTGAGGGGGTTTTCTTGGGGGGGTAGAGTTTCATGTACTTGAGTGTAACTTGCATTTTTGGTCATAAGTAATGGGGACATGCACGATTCCTGTCAGAGCGGCAAAGCACACTTTTTATTTTTATTTTATTTTATTTTTTTTACCATTTATGGATGGATTGTGTTTACTGTTATAACACAAAGGATTGAGTGTCTACCCTTTGTGTTTGAAGTGCAGTGTCAAAACCGCTCAGTCGACTTAACTCCATCTTTTCCTTCCTTGTCAGATTTTTCTATGTGACGTTGGTACATGATGAAGCTGAGAGTGCGTAAAGCTCCTCAGCAGCCGAGCGTAGGCCATCAAACCCACCCGTCCCAGGCCAAAAGGAAACACTGTGAAGTGGAGCCATCGCCGGTGAGAGGTCGAGGCAAAATGCAGAAGAATGAGACAGGCCTGTTCTCCACTATCAAGAAATTCATTCGTGGAAATGCAGTCAAGGTAAACACAGCTTTTTTTTTTTCTTTTTTTTTTGTTTTATGTGCTTCATTCTGTGCTTCATAGTACGGCGCAAGAACACACACAGCTACTTAAAAAAACAAACCAAAAAGCTGATAAAGGGAAGCTGTGTCACGCATGTAACTGTTAGTAGTGTTTTTAGACATCGAAACAGCAGGTTTACAATTATTTTAAGTCTGACTCAAATTACTGATGTCCACACAAAAGTTAGATATTTTTGTCTTAGACTGCCGAAACCTCCTATAGGCTTCAGTGGGTTCGTTAATTTTTTCCACGTTGTTTAGTTTTACAGTTTCCACATAGTGCTAGTTTGCTTGGTTTTTATTTGTTTTTTTTAGTTTTCATTGTAAATTTTTGTTAATATAACACAGGTGATGAATGTCAGGGGCAAGATCTAAAAAGTTCAGAATAGGGATTATAATACAAGCACAGCGTTCATGCTATGCAGGCATGTCAGCCTTAATAAACACATACACTAATGCATCCTAAGGTGTATATTAGTTCTACACAGCCAGGTTTTCTTTGTGTCTGCTGGCTTAACAATACCTTAAACCCCAATCAGAGATAAACTTAAGCTTTCTGCTTGCACGCTCACGTAAAAGGGGCGGCGTTTGCCCACATCGTTTGACTCTTCTGCACAAAAATGGTTCGATTTAGCACCACTCATTCCAATCAGAGACATTTTACTCTGTAAAAAAACATGAAAATATCACAGTAAAATGCAACACTGCTGCTTACAGGAATACAAGAAAATGCAATGCTGCAGAAAATCCCCAGATCTACTGAGTTTCATGATCATTATTAGCATACTGTGGAGTAAAGTCAACATGTTAATATCTTTGCTGTTTTTTTATTTCCGACCAAGCAGCCACACATTAGAGCTTGAAACCTTTAAAATGCATCTATTAAAGCATTAGAGGTTACTCTGTGTGTTTGACTCTGACTCTGTCTCACAACCTAATAAATTAGACTTGGAAATCAGTTTAGTTTGCCACCAGATTAAAGTGAAATCAATTTTATTGATTGAATAGATATCCTGTTTGATAAACGGCCTAATAATGTAACCATAATCAGTTTTCTGGTCTGTGTTTTAGTAACTGAAGTTCCAGCAGTGTAAAACAGGTAGAACAGAATGTAAAAAAAAACATGTAGACATTTTCTGCATCACCAGCTGCATGCAAATGCAGTGACAATGTCACACATTCATTTCAAAGGAGGGCTTCATTTAGTGGTGTTGGGACAGTTTGACTTAACAAGTTGCATTGAGTTGAGTGTTCTCCTTTTGCCTGTCAGTCAAAGCACTTTGCACACTCTGTTTTTACCCCTCAGCCATAAAAAGGTCCATGGGGTTTTGTTGTCTCCCTACTTGGCAGACAAAACTCTGTGTGTGGCATGTGCTCACGCAGGTTTGTGAAAGTGATAACTTGATAATGTGCCATTCATACCATAGGTGCATCTACTATGTTTGAATTTCAGTGATCTCAAGGTCAGAGGTCACTGGGAGTTTAATTTATAAGTGCATCTACTAGGAAGCCGAGGGGTAGCACTGGCAGCTGCCAGTATTGTTATCATTGTTATGTCCTTAGAGGGGTACTACAAAGCAAGTTTAGTGGGTTAGTGAGGTATGTCAGTGCACTGACTTTTAACAGATCATCCTTCAGTTTTCTTCCATTTATTTGATTCATAGTGGTGAGGCAGACTTGAGGCTATCGTAGAGGTCATGGGGTAGAGATGGAGTGTACTCTCGACAGGTTGCCTGTCTATTGCAGGGTTGACCCACACAACCATTGACCGTCACACTCAAACCTGCAGCCAATTTGGAATCACCATTTAACCTAACATGAATGTTTTTGGATTGTGGGGGGAGGCTAGAGTACCCCGAGAGAGCCCACGCAGACACAGAAAAGGCCCCGGGCGGCCAGTGGATTCAAATCTAGAACCTTCTTGTTACGAGGTGGCAGTGCTAACCACTGAGCACCGTTCCGCCCCAGAACAGAAGTCACATTTTTAATCAAATGTCATCACATGCTTGTAAAACATCCACATTGAGAAATTAAAGATGCGCTTTCTGTGGTAATGTCATGGCAACTGCTTTCAGTGCTGCTAAATATATTTTGCATTGCAACATGTTAGCGATTTGCACACTGAAGAAGTTAAAGCTGTGGAAAAATGTAAATTATGTACATTTGTAACTGTGTGTGTCATTTCTTTTTAGGTGGAGCAGGATATTCCTGCCAAGCGGAGTCGTATTGATTGTAATCCCGACGGTGATCTCATTACTTCAACACCACAGACTAGAGGCCTCTCTAATAAATCCGTATCCAGAGTTTGCCGGAAAAGTCCAAATAAAGGTATGACAGACCAGTCTATAGAAGCTGACCATAACAATTCACATATCTTTCATGTATATTCTGCAGTTTTATAGCTGTCTTAAGAACCCTAAAAAATTTACAATAGTGTCAACAAACTAAAACCATGTCCTTTTTCCCCCTCCTTTTTTTTTTCTCTTCTTCAAAAGACACCATGACCTGCCATAGTAAACCAATTAAACCAAACGGTAAACTGGAGGCCCCTGTCGACTCAACGAGCAGCCCAGCACGCACCACCCTCCTTGGAACCATCTTCTCCCCAGTCTTCAACTTTTTCTCACCAGCAACTAAAACTGGTAAGAAAGTCCACAAGTATTCTGTAGCCGATCCACAGGTAATTTAGGCTGAATTAATAAATAATAAATAAATGATAACAAACAATCATGCTGAAATATCATAAACTGAATGGTTTTAGGGGTTTTTTCTGAAGAACCAGCAATATATGACTGAAAGCCACATCTTATTTGTATTCCCTCTGTTAAGCCACTCCTGGCTCTGATTCTCCCGGCCAAGCCATGGAGGCAGAGGAAATCATGAAACAGCTGGACATCGAGCAGGCTGAAGAGATGCCGAGCAGCACTCTCACATCCACCCTCACATCCACCGAGGGCATCGCTCCGTGTCACACTGCTCCGATTTTACCACAGAGGCTCCACATTACCTCCGATACAACCATAGAAGAAGGAGAGATCGTCACTGAAACTGACATGCCCCCGTTAACAGGTACGACCACGCACGTTAGGCCTAATCCTCCTTGAATTTAAAACTTAATTCACATAAACAAGGACAACTTCACAGTAGAGGCTTGTTATTTCTCAGAATCATTGCATTTGAATTTCTCTTAAATCTTATGTGTCTCTGTCAGCTCCTGGGTGTATGCCAGATGGCAGCTATCCACACTCATTACCTGCAGTTCCAGCAGAACCCTCATACGATGAGGACTGGGAAGTTTTCGACCCGTAAGTTAATCAAATTTTTTTTTTCTTTTTTTAAAACAAACTCTAAATTTAATATAAATCCTTTCAGTGTTAATTAAGTAAACATTAATAGACTTGGTGCTAATAGAATAAGTGCTGCATTGTTGTTAAATTTGAGCTTGCACTTTGCGCAGCAAACCCTGTCTTTGTTGAGTTTTGTGGTGTGATTCCACTTGAAATCACATTCAAGGTGACTTTGTATGCTGGTGTTGAGCTTGTTGTGAAACCTTCAGCCACCAGGTGGCAGCAAAACCACACTTTTAAGTCTGTGCATCGCTCTGCGTTTACTTCACTGGAGGATACTGTTTGCTCATCCCCGATTTCCCCCAGTGAAGATTAAATATTCTCTTTGTTTTCCTTTATTTTTTTTATCCAACATCTATAAAAGAAACAGTAAATAAGTTATATTACTATCAAAGGTTCAACTGGGACATTTAAATACTTGTGATTTTTGACTGTTGATATATTTCCTTTTGGTTTCTTTAAATTCGAGGTACTTCTTCATCAAGCACGTGCCTCCGCTGACAGAAGAGCAGTTAACACGCAAACCGGCCCTGCCTTTAAAAACACGCAGCACACCAGAGTTTTCTCTTGTCCTTGATCTGGTAAGCAGCAAAATGTCCCTTATGCTTAAATCTCAAATTAAAATAAAAAAAAAGACTCAAATTAAAGACAACAATAAAATAAAAATAATTTGTTTTTTTCTTCTCTTGCTTCCAGGATGAAACTCTGGTTCATTGTAGTTTGAATGAGCTCGAAGATGCAGCTCTGACATTCCCCGTGCTTTTTCAAGATGTAATATACCAGGTACAGGTTCAGCATCATTCCCCAGTTTAAGAGACTCACTTTTTATGGCTGTTCCTAAACCTTCTGTCTCTTGATCTATTTTTTTTTTTTTTTTAAACCTGCAGGTGTATGTTCGGTTGAGGCCCTTTTTCAGAGAGTTTCTCGAGCGCATGTCTCAGTTGTACGAGGTAAGAGGCATCTTTTGTTAGAGTGCATACGTTTGTTTAGTCTGGCCTCCTCTCAGATTCAGTATTAGTCATTTATTGCTGTCCATTAAAATTTCAGATTATTCTCTTCACTGCTTCAAAGAAGGTCTATGCTGACAAGTTGCTCAACATCCTGGATCCGAAAAAACAGTTAGTAAGGTCAGTGGGAACGTGCATCCAAAGATGAACTCTGCCTGCTTTGTAAGATGTCTGTTAGCTGTAGAGTAAGAGAGGAAATGAACAGGATACAAACCTGTATTCATTCCATCAGAGTTCACCAGCTTTATTCTGTAGTCATCCCTAGGAGAAGATCCAAGATGAACATTTAAAATATCGCTCTTGACACAGGAAAAAAAAAAGGAACTTCCTTGATTTTTATACCAGGTGTACTATCCAGTATTCAAGTTCTTCGTGTTTCCTTTTCCAGTAAAACTAACAGCAGGTTTTCTTTACTGGAAAAGCACTAAAGCTCCTCCCCCTTCCTGATTGTGTTGATTTTGTAAACAAATCCTTTGAAGATTTGTGTTTGGACTTCTCAGCAAGCTCCGTTGTTGTTTAGAAGAGGTTCAGTTTATCAGGCAACCAGCTTGGTTGTGTGTCGCTCCTAAGCAGAGCCTATGCACAGCTCTGGAGAGTCATGAGGGGAAAAAAATCAGTATTCCCCAACTAGTAAGGCTTCTGGCTGTTTCGTGTATCTGAACGGCAGCAAAACTTTGAGCTCCGATCTTTACATCCTCTAATTGCACCTACACCGCAGCTAAAGCCACTCTTTTATTAGCACTTGCTCCGACCCAGCCAGTCAGGATGCTGATTAAACATGGACCTAAACCTAAAAAAGCCAGAAAGGATGTATCAGATGACGATGTTAGCAACGAACTCCAAACCGAGAAGATGGAAGAAGCTAGCGCCCAACAGACCAAGACTAGTGTTCTGGCCGCAATTGAGTTGCAAGTGATTATTGGGGTTGCTGGTAGTCGCTGGAAAAACAGTTGCTTAAGGTCCAGTCACACAGGTTTGCAGAGTGGTTAGTAACTCCCTGGCAACAACCTGTTGCTAGCATAAATGTGCATTCCCCAACTGATTGGCAAAACCCTCTTTGTGATTGCTTTGGCAGCTGCAGTTGTAGTTTGCATGGAAGTTATGGACCTCTCTACAAATGCTGTTCAGCAGCTCTGCTGGCTGTAGTGAAGCTGTGAAAAGTGTAACACAAACCAGAAATTGAGATCATGTTGCCTTCAAAATAAAAGTTTGAAGGCAATGTTGCCTGTAGCACTGAGCCACAAATCATATTTTAAAGACTTTCTCCAATTCTAGTTAGTGTTGCACTTTTCACCATTTTGCTATTGCTGGACTTGCTTGGACTAAATCTCTTTTTTGCAAATATTATGTATCAAAATAGTGTCTTGTCAATCACGAGTTGTTAGCCAGTAAGCATGCAGTTTCCCAGTCATACCCACCTTGCATTGGTATTTTGGCAAACTGATGGTGGGTGTCATTCATTTATTTATTTATGATTAATGTTTGAAGGTCATCACTTGCACATAAACATGCAGCGTATATCATTTTTCTCACTCATTCAAGCACAACCAGCATTACTGATTTGGTCCTCTCAGCGTGTCCAGTGTTTCATGAATATATTATTCTGAAAGCACCATTCACTCCCTTTTCATTGTTTCAAACAAACCAATCTGAAATGCCTGTCGGGACGCTTGCATTTGTTTTTTTTCATGAAACATTTATTAATTTCTTTTCCTTCTGTCACCTTACCGCCAACCTCGGGACAAATGCACAGTGTAAATCATTTGACCCTTTGAATTTTTCTGTAAGCATCATTAACTTCACCAGAGCTCTTCTTCCTTTGGTGTTATTTTCTCGGAATAAATCTGTCATGCTGCATTTTTCTTTTTTGCTTTCTTTCTTTTAGACATAGACTATTTCGTGAGCACTGTGTGTGCGTTCAAGGAAATTACATTAAAGACCTAAACATTCTCGGGCGGGATCTTTCCAAAACTGTAATAATCGACAACTCACCCCAAGCCTTTGCTTATCAGGTAAAGTTCTTACACCAGAAATTATTTTATTATTAGTTGTTTATTTGTTTTTTTTAAATGAATGAATTCATTTTAAACTGCACTTTTATCCATGATTTTGTGTCACATTGATCTAAACACGCGTTTTTGTTTCTTTCAGCTTTCCAATGGAATCCCCATTGAGAGCTGGTTTGTGGATAGAAATGACAACGAGCTTCTAAAGCTTATTCCTTTCCTCGAGAAACTTGTGGAGCTGGTATGTACTTGGACTTGTAAATATTTGCATCTGTGCATTCACACCAGTGGAAAATAACCACAGCTGGCAGTCTGCTGTCACTGTTCCACCCACTCTTCACCACACGCAGAGTTAGCTGTGTAATAAACTTACCAGTTTTATATTTAGTGTTGCTAATAGAGAACATATAAACAAATATGTGTAAATTATTTAAACAAACCAGTTAAGTTTCTTACTTTGCTACTGATTCATTTAACTGAGTTTCAGTCTGTATATCTGCATTGGTTCATGGTTTGAAAACCACTGCACTGTACCAACAAAATGCTGCGTATGGCTGCTGAAATCGCAAATTTTGATTGGCTAGAAAGCTGTAGTCTAACTCTTGGTTAGATAACAGCTGTCAGTCAGCTGTCAATGGCTTAATTTGGTGCCAGGTTTAGTTTTGTGACCAATGCATTTAACCACAAAAAAGGGAAGTGTCAACTCAGTCAACAACGCTCACATTTTAATATTAGATTTTTTTTTCAAAGCTTTGTAAGTGTATAAACCCAGTCAGCAAAGAGAAGGTGGTCTGAGAGGAAGTGCAACCAAAAAAGAGCAGAAAGTAAAATGGTGCAGAGAAGTTTTAGGTAATGTGAGTAAAGCAGAGGAAGACGGACGTGAGAGGCAAACATTGCTATTAACACAGCACTGTGTAACATTAACTCTGCTGGATTGACATGCTCAGTAATATCATGATTAGAGCTGGGCAATAAAACGATAACATTATCATGCAAAAGGTTTACTCAATAGTGATATCAAACATGGTCGGTATAAAATTGATAGAGCTCACTCCATCCATGTTTTGACGGACAACACAAAAGGCCATTGACAATAAGTAGTGCCAAGACAGTCATGTGGGTAGAATAACATCAAAGCCACACAGGTTGGGTTGACGTACACGGGGTAGGAGAGACAGCCGGCAGCAGCACATGAGCTTATATTTGGGCTGCTACACGCATTGCGCTAAAAGCTCGGGCAAGGTAAAAGACGACATGGCAACAGAAAATGAAAACTCAGAATAGAGTAGCGTTCGCTCCAACACTGCAAACTGTGTTGAAAGCAGGTTTCCACAAAGGCCAGGTGACAAGGCATGATGCCAGTAAGCAGAGTCAAAAATGTCAGATTTAAGAAGCTGATTAGAGAAACTGAGCCTGTTACTAACTTCGTGGCTATAAACGTTTCTCTCAGACGACTTTATCCTGCTACATGTGGAGAGAAGAGGGAGAGATGAACAGCTTTTTACTACCACAGCGGATTAGTGGTGGAACGAGTCACACATCTGATCCATGACTGAGGTCTAAGGAGCTTGGAAAGAAAAAAGTGTCTGGACTTCTTTAAGTTGCTTGAAGACGTTTCACCTAGCCCCACCTTATCCTGTAATTTACTGAGGTCAGATGGCCCAGGCTGTGAGTGGGCATTAAAGCGTCTGGCGTCTCATTAGGGGGTCCATTGTCCCTCTTCAGGGGGACACTCCCACAGGGCTTAAATCTGGGACTCTCCACCATTTGACCCTAGAACTGAAGAAGCTTCTTGGATGAGAGGTGAAACGTCTTCAAGCAACTTAAAGAACTCCAGACGCCTTTTTCTTTCCAAGCTCCTTAGACTACAATGACCTGGATGACTGAGAACCTTCACAGACATCCATGACTGAGACTCCCATTGATACAAAAGTAGAACACAATTGAGTGTTAGTTTTGCTTATGTTCTCCTTTTATGTATATTTGAAAGTTTTTAAAAATTTGTACTGATACGTTTAGTATTTTCGGTTTGTGGAGTTAAAATGCTTTACCTCTATACTGTATTTATTACATTTTTTGTTGTAATAGCTGCTTTATTTTTTTGGACCTGACCAAAGAATTTAGTGTTGCAGTTCGTTTTTGTTCTTCTGTAACACTTGAAGGTTTTTCCTTGTCAGAAAACCCATGTCACATATTTAAAATACAATTGCACAATGTAGCAGCGCATTTATCATGTTCAACGGCTCAATCGTAAATTTTAACATCTCATTTTGGTGTAAAAGGGAACCTTTGAACTTTACGGAAGTAGGGATTTTAATTTTAACGTGATATCAGTATCAACTGAAAATATTAGCAGCCCAGCTCTAAACACATTGCATTTAGTGAAAGTTTGTCTTTACTTGTTTCTCGTGCAGAGAAGAAGACATCCTGAATGTGTGATCAAAATGAAATTTTAATAATCTACAGTTTTTAAATCAGTCTCACCTTGTCTGTCTCGTCCCAGAATGAAGACGTCAGACCGCACATCCGAGAGCGGTTTCGTTTGCACGACCTCCTCCCTCCAGACTGAGGTGCTAATGTTCATTTACAAGATTGCAGTGGAAGAAGGAAAAAACAAATGGACTCATAGAAGGATGTCTTCAGTGGATTCAGCTCTGAATGGCAGTGTTACATACACAACATTGCCATTATTATAATTTTTTTAAGTCGTACAAAAAAAGAAAAAATGAAAATTATGCTCGAGTCCACAAAAAAGTCCTGGATGTTTATACACACACACACACACACACACACACACACACACACACACACACACACACACACACAGTGAAGGCAGACTCAGAGCAGAGGTTTCTTAGCTCACTTGTTTTCAGTGCGACCTTGCAGACGGCCTCCTGGAAGGTATTTTGTCATTTGACAAAACTGAATGTCACAGTGTTGGATTACAAGGACATTGTTGGTTTCCTCCTGACCTCCAGTGGCCAGTCAAACCTGTAAAATATTCACTCTATTTGCCTGTAAATATATGTACATAATTGTTTTGTTTTTTTGTTTGTTTGTTTTTCTCTTGAGGTTTTTAAGTCCTTTTAGTTTCACTTCAGATTTTAGTATGTTCTCTGACTCGGTTGCTTTTTTCTTTTTTAACTGATAAAATGTTGTTTTGTTTGAACTTGTTGATAAGCAGCTGCTTTTCTGTTGTATGCCTGCATAATTCCTGTGATGCTTTACTCCATTACATGCAGTCGTCTCTTATAAGGTGCAGTTTAAAGAAAAAAAAAAAAAAGGAAGAAGAAAAGAAATGAGTGTCTTTGGGAGGAAAAATGTTTCTGAAATAATATTTTAAAGCTATGAAATGTAAGATAGACTAGGGTCTCAAATGAATACCAACCCATAATGGCCGAATCTTAATTTTGGAGATTTTTATTTAAGAGTCCGCTTCTGGTTGCGACATTTTGATCGTCCTCTTTGACAGGAGGGGTGGGTGGGAGGGTGGGGTTCAGGCATCTTGCACTTTGACATCCAGCCCTTTGTAAGTTGATGTAAACTCTTGTCACTTTTCTACACAGGTCTGTATCGCCTAAATTTGTTATGTGGGGGGAAAATGAAATTGTAGCACCAGCAAATTGCCAACATGTTTGCTTTGAATCTTCTTTTCCAAGACGTCTTGTATGTGGGATCTTTGATGTAGGAGTCACGAGTTTTATTGACTTATTGAATGATCACTCCTGGTGTATTCAGTGTTACTCAATGGTTTCCTTGAAAATAAATACATTTTTATACGACACAAGGCTTCCTAGCAGTAACTGTAATTTTAGTTTGTTCAGCAACACTTTTTTTTTAAGATTTATTTTTAAAGTGAAGACAGCTTGCAGGATTATGCAAATTGATACAGAGGTGGACGAGTGAATGTGGAGATGCTCCTCTGGGATCAGTGCAACAGGAAAGAGGAGCAGGAGTTCTTTGGTTTGCTTTTTCTGATCAAAGCATCATTTTGATACTTAAAACTGTCTTTTTTTTTATTTGTTATTTAAACTTTATTTTGTTTCCTAGACCTCATCAGATGACATAACCTTTAATGTTTTTGAAGGTTATGGGGACTAGACGGGGCATATTTATCCTATATGGGCTTCTCTCCTTTGGCTATGTCAACGACTAAGCAGTAGGACATGAGGACTAATGTGTAAAAAGATTTAATTGAATAATTTAAAATTAAGTGAGAGAAATAGCAGCTAACGTTAGCTAGCTGGCGTATTATTTAAAGAGGAAGAATAAAATTATTAGTATTATTAAAAATAATAAACCTGTGGCTCTCTTTCACTTTTGTCCTGTCTTCCTCCCCAACTGGTCTCTCAGATGGCCACCCCTCCCCGATCCTGGTTCTGCCAGAGGTTTCTTCTTGTTAGAAGGGATTTTTTTTCCCTTCCCACTGTTTCCAAATGCTTGCTCATAGGGGGGTCATCTGATTGCTGGGGTTTTATCTGCATTACTGTAGGGTCTTTACCTTCCTTTTGTAATGCACCTTGTGTGCATTATGTCTAGCCTCTTCATATTTTTTTAAATTGTAGTTTTATCTTCCTTTGTTAAATTGTTTCTCTGCACTCAGTAAACCTGGACGTGTTTCCAATTCGCTATGTTTCTCGTTTGTGGACCATCATACTAACAGTTCGTATGGATCCAAATGAACATAGAGCATATTAAGAGCCAAAGCTAAAGAAATCCTTTTCTGTCCTCCAGGATTTTACACAGAACATTTCCTCAAAGTAAAGTCATTAAATATCTCTTGTGGCTGGGGTTATTGTGGGCCTTTTTTTCATTCAAAAATTGAATAAAAAGTAATGCAAAACGGGTTTAATATCCAAAGCGGCTAATTTTAATATGTTAACTGCAGCATAAACTACAATAACACAAAACAATTTACCTTTTTGTGACTTGCCGAGGAGTAAGTATGTTTCTGCAGCAGTTTGTCCTACTTTTAAGCAGATGTTTCCCTCTTCAAAAGGAAAGAAATGACATACAGCAGCTGCAATGTCAACTGACAGACACCCAGTGAGTGCGGCCATATTTTACTGGCATGCACACAACCTGCGAGATTTTTCATTCAGCTAAGAACCTTGTGAGGCGTCCGGATGAGATAACCTGCTGATTTGTTAAACCCTTTGTTCTTTTGGGAAATGGGACATTATCTGATTACAGGTGCACACCGAATTGGCCCTTTCAGAGGTCATGTGACTCCGAATTCACCTTCATCCGAGTTTATCTAACAATGTTCGGACGGAAGACTTGTTTCAAAACAAAATCGCACTGTTGATAGCGTGGAGATAAGACGTGGGGATAATTAACCGTATATTTTAGACTAAATCCATCCATCTATTGGCTGGTGGTGGTGGGAGGAGGTTGTGGCTCATAAACTACGAAGCATGTGGTGTGACAATGCCGGGGTGCCCGGGGATATAAAAGGTGCAGACAGGCGCTCTCCCCTCAGGATAACGTCAGGTCTATCAACGATGCTGATGCTGCTATTTCTCAGTGCGCTGTTGGGGGTGTTCGGGTTGGAGAAAGCGTCCCCCGTGGACACCCAGCAGCTTCGGGCCCTTCAGTGCCCGCCCTGCGAGCGGATACACTGCTCTTCCCGGCGGGCGCTGAAGCTCCAGTGTAAAGGGGGCGTGACGACGGGTGTCTGCGGATGCTGCCCCGTGTGCGCCAAGACGGAGGGGGAGACCTGCGGGGGGACGTGGGACTACCTGGGGAAGTGCGACGAGGGGCTGGTGTGCGTTTTTCAGGACTCAGCAGCTGCCAAACCAGACGCAGAACGCAAAGGGATCTGCAAAGCAGGTGAGATTGTAACCATTACTCTAAAATGATGACAAGCAGCCACTGCGCATCAGATCCACGGGTGATGCTTTAATCACTGGTGAAATGCAATAGTGGGGAAATGAAAAGTTTTACAGCAGCACAAAAGAGTTATCGAGTTGTTCTGATTTATTCACATGTACAGAAACCATCATGCTAATTAAAAGAAGGCTCTGTAAGCAAGAATGCAATATTTAACTCTTCCTTCTGGAAATAAAGTTGGCGGGAACTACAAAGGCGCTAAAATCTTCTCTAAACGCGTAAAATGCACTTGGTGAGATTCTTTGACTGTAAGTCTGTGTAGTGGGAATGGTGCTGGTGCGGTAAAATCTGGTTTATGAGCTGTGAAGACTGATAGTGTGGTCAAGGCTTCCTTTGAATCAAAGGTTCCTCAGCCATAATTACTCATCTTATCTGTCCCCGATGAAAAGAAGTGTCACCGTTATCAATACGATATCAGACCTTTTACAGTTTTCCTGTCTTTTTTTAAAGTCGGAGTCCACAATGCGGGACTCTCATTCGTAATTTCTTTAAATCTGTGTAGTGATTGAACAGCTGGATGCAGAGAGCTGCCAACCAGAGTGCACCAAGGAGTACTGCCAGGCCAACCCCTCTGCAATCTGCTCTGCCAGGTGAGCCCCCTCTCCATCCTCTTAATGCCACGTTGTTTTTGTTGTTTTTAGCAATAATCAGAATTTCCTCGTCTGTAGGTCTACATCTCTGCAGAATAAAGAGTGCCAGGGCTCCTGCCAGCACACGTCCTGCTCCAGCTGTCTGCTGCTGAGGCGTCCATCGTGCTCTCAGACCTGCGCCCCGTCCGATTCCACCTGTCTGCAACACTTTGGGAAGTGTGTGCACAATCACCTGACTGCACCTCACAGTCCCATATGCCACAACAACCTCCAGGTAAGGAAAAACAATAATAATAAAAACCAAACTTCTCCCTGTTTTTTCTTTTTTTTTTTCTTCATTGCGCTCTGAATCCAACACGGTCTTTTTTTCTCTTTGCAGAGTAACTGCGAAGGGCATTTTGTGTGCTTGATCCCGGACTGTCCGAGCTCATCCAGCTAAGAAGAAACCAAGAGGAACACTTGTAGCAAAATGTGAAGAAAGGCAGCTATGTTTAAACCCTGTGAATATCTCAAAACTACTTACAATTACTTTTCGCCCCCTGCAATTTAAATCAAGATTAAAACCTTCTACTTTTTTAAATTCTATACCATCATGTATTGACTTTGCTCTATTTATTTATGGGGATTACCAGGCTGGATCTGCACTACTCTAGCTGTTAATTAATGCTGTCCAGTGATGTGCATTGCTTTATATGACGTTAGACAGTTGGCATAATCACTGTTTGTTTTTACGTGTTTTCTTGTATCTTATATGAACTTGTGTGTCACCATAAGTGTTTAATTCATGTACCACAACATGAAAACCTACCTGCTAAGTAAACATATGTCAGATTCTCTCTGTCACCTGTGTGTCAATTATTTAATTAGATCTCAAATTACTGGATATCATTACCAGTGAATGAATATTCTAATCCATATTCTTACAGTTTCAGCTATAAAATACAAATGCAGTAAACACATTATTTATAAAACACAAACTAACACAATACTTTACAAACAACCTGCAGTTTTTGGCCAGACCAGTAAATCCACTGCATAAAAAGAGCCCACAAACATGTGATAGATCTGTATCAGTCAGTCTACTGCCATAAAATATACTGACCAGCCACTTTATTAGGTACACTATACTAATACTGCTTTGGACCCACTTTTAGTTAATACCAATGTAATTCTTTATAGCACAGATTTGACAAGATGCTGCAATTATTCCTGAACTCATTGTCATGCTCTTAAGCAGTTTGAGATGATGTGAGGTTTCTGAAACGGAGCTTTATTATGTTGGAAAGAGCCATCAGGAGATTGGTGCACTGTGATTATAAAGGGATGGACATGAGCAGCAGGAGTACCTGGTAGGCTATGGCATTTAAAAATGCTCAAAGTGTGCTGAGAAAACATCAAATCACCACCAGCTTCAACTGTTGATCCAACTCAGGATGGATTCATGATTTATTTGTGAGGTTTATGCCAAATTTTGACCCTACCATACGAGCGCTGAGATACTCAGAGCAAATTCACTTCCTCCTTCTAACGCTTGATTTGAACTTCAGCAGGTCATCTTGACCAAGCAGGGTAAAGACAACCTGCTCCATGTGGTTGGTGTCATGTGATTGGCTGATTAGATATTGGTGTTAACGAGCAGCTGAACAAGTATACCTAATGATTGCAATGAATGTACATTGCAATCAACAGATAAAAGCAAAAATAACAACAAAAAGAGATTTTACTTCTTTATCAAACAAGTTTCTGAGGTGTTTGAATGCTTTCCACACCTTTTCACTTGTGTGTAGCAATGCTTGCAGCAAGGCATCATGTATAGCAAAACATTTTATATAAGACATCATTATTTTCCTGCTTTGCAAAACCATCCACTGGACTGTGTTGGACGTTTAAATCACGCTTAAAAACTCGCCTGTTCCATCTAGCTTTTGAAGCAAATTAGTTTGGACTTCCACCTGGTCTGCATTTGTGCTATGTAACTGTAACTGTCACTGTAACTATAATTGTTTTAACTGTTTTTGTTGCTTTTTGTTGTAATCTGCTTGGCTACCTTGTAGGAAGCACTTTGATGGACACTGACCTTTTTAAATGTGCTATAGAAATAAAAATATTGATTGATTGATTGTACTCTCTGACAGGTCTGCTCTGCCCTCAATCTGTAAGTGAGGGTTTTGGCGTTTTGGAGCAAATGTTGGCAAAGATAACAAACATCATACCTGACTGCAGACCTGCCTCAAGTTCAGTCCTGCACAATACACGTCTTTTACAGGGAAATATTAAATTGTGAAAGCATGAATTTTTTT